AAAAAAAAAAAAAACATGAACCAAAAAATTATGTTTTTTTTTTTCTCTTAAATAATCGAATCGAACTGGTCATTTTCGGTTCGGTTCTTGGTTCTCGGGTATAAAATTCCACCCCTAATAAGTACTACTACCTCCTATTTATTTTAAATGTCATTTTGATTTTATTAACAATTAACTAAATAAATGATGTTTTCGATGTTTTATACATATTTTTCCATTATTAAACCCATCTAACTAATAAATAGACTACGTATGTTCCTATTAAATCTTCATTTTTTTTTTCAAAATATTCATCTCTATCTTCATTAACCAGAGTTATTATTGAAAAAAAAAATTTTTAATTGTTATAAATGTATTATATTTTGAGTAAATTTAATATTTGACCAAATTAATTAATATAGTTTATATAAGGTATCTTGTGAATCACATATTAAGTACTATAATTTCATAATATTGCTTAGGCGCCGTCTAAAATTTTAGGCCCTACTCGCTATCGATATATATTTTCAAAAGTTGCACTAAAAGCAAACTTATGTTTATTAAGGAAGAGCATTTAAAGCATTTAATGAAAGAATAACAAAAAAAGCATGAGATTTATTTATTTATTTATTTATTTGTGCCAAAAAGATAAATAAGTAAATGAATTAAAAAAAAAAAGGAGTGAAAAATGATGATGGAAAGAAAATGATGACCTGTTTTTGTGGTAATTTTGTAGCAGGAGGTGAAGGATCTTTCTTGACTGGCAGAAATGTGGGCCCATTCACATTCACAATTTCACTCGAAGCTGATTCTTTCTTCTTCTCCTTCTTCACATTCTTCCTCTTTTTCTGGTTATTATTTGCTCTGCCTTTCCTAACAAATGCCTCCGATTTCTGGTCCGCAATGGAATAATCGAAAGTTTGGGGAGCTGTCTGTAATTTCCCCACAGCAGAAGAAATATTTCCATTTCCAACCCCAACTTTGTTCCCATCCCTCAAAATCCCCCTCGGCTGGTCCGCATTGTTATTTTTGTGAGAAAGAGATAGATTTTTGTCCCTTCTCATAATCTTCTCCGCCTCTCTGTCTCCATGATATGTGTTGGTGATGTCAACCAAGCCAGCAGCTGCTCTCACTTTTTCCTTGTTAAATGTTGTTGCATTTTTGCCCTTCATTTTACCCGAAATTGCGAACTGGGTCTCCTTGTTGATCTGCAGGGAGAGCCTGTGGTACTCGATACCCGATTTACGTCGGGCACCGATGCCGATATCATCACTTGCTGTGCGTTTATGTATGTGAAGTTTTGCTTTGGGAGTGGAATTAGAGTTAATGGATTGTGGGAGAAGATCAAGGCCCATCAGCCTGGCCACAAGGTTAGGGGTTGTAATTGGGCCTGGGGAGCAATCTGAAGATGCATTATAATTATGCTCCTCTTTTGTTGATACTGAACTAATTTTTGTTTTGATTTTGTTAATGCCTACCTGCAAAAGGGAAAAAGAAAAAAAAAAAAAAAAAAA